GCTTGTGTAGAACTAACAGACCTGGACGTGCTGCTTCTGAGCCAAGGGGCTTAGAGCTACAACCAGTCCAGGCCTGTATGTGGCCCGACGCTCCTGCCTCCTGGGGCAGCAAAGGCCTGCAGAAGCCAGGAGACGTGGGGGCTGGTGGGCAGAGCTTTCTCCTCTGATTGTGAATAAATCTGCTTGTCAAACAAGGGGAGAGAGACAGGCAGAGAGAAAGAGAGAATGACATAACGTGGCTGAGCTGCATGTGGTGGTGACTGTGACTTGAGTGAGGAGACTCAGGACACTCAGCAGAGGGCCCTGCCCACTCAGGAGTGGGTGGAGAGGGTTCTAGGGGGAGAGAGACATGCAGTGTAGGGACATGGACACACACTGAGAGGATCAAGCACTAGTGACAACTTTCCACATTTTCATGTGTGGTGGAAACAAAACCATCCCCGCAGACAGAGAAGAACACAAACACAATGGATTGACACAATTGTTTCCTTCAAGAAGAACCTAGAAAGATGGAAGCTTCAAAGTAAAACCTCTCTGTATAAGCAGAATAATGACTTCAAAGGTGTCCATGTCCTCATCCCATGAACCTGTAAAAGTGTGTCCTTGACAGAAGAAAGGGAAACCTGTAGGTGGGACAGAGATGGGACCTGGAAACAGTGATGTTATTGAGGATCATCAGGGGGAACCAATCACATGAGCCTTAACAGCCGGGACCCTGCACCTGTTCTCAGAGACAGTCACATGGTGACAGCAGCAGGGCCATAAAGAGGCTGCATGGCAGGCTGTGTAGACAGAGGATGGGGTCCCCAGTCAATGCAGGGGGCCCTAGATCCTGGGAGAGGAAGGGGCTCCTGGAAGGAAGGAGCTGCTAGACCCTGGAGTTAGTCCCAGGACATGGTCTCAGGTGTCTCCCCTGCAGGCCTGTGAGATGATAAACTGTGTGGGTGACGCTGCTCAGGGTGTGGTGACATGTGTCACCAGCAGCTGGAGCTCTGATGCCCCATGTAGGGGCCCAGGCAGGGTGAGCAGGGCCTGGTAGGGGTGGGTCTGGAGGGAGCACCAGGACCCCATAAGGGGGCTCCCCCATGAGATGATGTCCTAGGAGTGTCACCTGCTCTGGGGGTAGAAAGAGGGAGAGAGAGGTGCCTGGAGAGCAGGGAGGGAGGGAAGGACATGTGAGGAGAGGAGGACAAGGATGTGGAACAGGAGGATGGAGCCAGGTTTATTAAATTGCTGACCAGAGACAGACCCAGACCCTGACTCTGCTGGAGAGGGAGGGTCACCCCCAAGCCCTAATGACCAGATGGGATGTGCCCTGCCCCCATCAGCATGTGCCACACAGGATCACAGACCAGAGACCAGAGACCAGAGACCAGAGACTCCTGAAATGACTGATAGGGGAGAACAGGCCTGTCATCCCCCACCCCACACCTGCCTGGGAAGGAGGAAGCAGGTCATTCCCCAACACTCAGGTCAGACACAGCAAGACTCTGAGGCCTTCAGGGAAAAGCCTGAGTTTCCCAATTGTGTGAGGAGAGAGGGGGAGAGAGGAGAATCCAGGATCCACATTTAATGGAATAGGAACATCTTCTTGTGCACACTTTGTATAAATGTGTGACACCAGCCACACCTGCACAAGCTCACTCAGAGTGTAACAGGGTGGTCCCCAGGAAAAAGGGAGATTCCAGGTTTCCTGCCCCACCCAAGGGAGGGTGGAACTGAGCAGGTAGAAGAAGCTGCAGAGGAGACTGCGAAGGAAGGAATCAGGATGGAGAGCCAGGAGACCTGGAGGAGGCACATGGAACAGAGAGACATGTGAAAAAGCTATGCTTTCCTTTTGGTCGTGGACTGGGTGACACAGATATGGGTGAGACGCATGACAATGGCACTTTTCACCTTGATTTTGATTTTGCTCTTTTCCTCCCAGACTTGTCTTATCAAGATCACAAGATCTTGATAAGAAACAAGATCAGGGCCTTCCTGGTGGTGCAAGGGTTTAAGCACCACACTATGAAGAAATCTGCAGCCTCTGCAGCACAAGTTCAATCCCCAGCCAGGGAGCTACCCACATGGTGCAGCAGACCTCTCCTGTCTTTCCCACTGCTCCCCTCAGCAGTGTATTTCAGTCAAACTGCTTGTTCTGTTCCCACTCTGTCTCTGGTGAATCCTCTCTCCCCCCAGCATCTCTGTCCTGTACCTCAGCTCTTGTATGCATAAATAAATAAATATTAAAAAAAAGAAAAGTAAAGAAAAGAAACAAGATCACATGCAATAATTGGGTGGAATATATGTGACCTCTTTGTAAAAGAGAGAGATTATAAATTTTCTTGTTTTTGCTGACATTGTTGACATCCAGCTCTAATGCTCTACACCATACTTCTTCATACAACAATAAAAAAAAAAAAAAGGCGTGGAGGAGAACAGGAACAGGAGCAGTAGGGACAAAAAGAGAAAATCAAAGTGGTATTTAATGTGAGACACAGCGTGCCCAGGACTGTGTGTGCACTGACTGCACTAGTCAGTTCATTTTTGTAGCAAAACTTTAAGTGAAAAATTTTTGTTAAATTTTACAAATAATACAAGATCACACATGTATCCATCTGTGAATCTGTCAATATCAAAATGTTGATTCTAGTGCATTAATGTGTTTCATTCAAACACATCATTCTTTTTGCATGCCAAAGGAAAGTTTATGTTAAAATGCGTGAGACATGAACTCAGCAGAGGCTGGAATGATGGTAAAAAAGACTCTGTGATCCTCACTGTGTGGAAATGAGCCCCCAGGAGAATCAGGGGGACTCTCAGGAGGGTCCTCACACTCCTGGTCCCAGGTCCCTCCCCTACAGACCCTTCTCTGTGGCTCAGGGTCTGTGTCCAGGATCATAAACAAACTCCTGAGCAGGGAAAGGGTGTGTGATTCAAGCTCAGGGGGCTCAGATCTCCCCTCATCAGCATCTCTGACCTTCCCTGCAGGACCTATATAGACCCTGCTCTGGAGGCACTGGGGGGATCATGTGAGAGAAACTACAATTAGACAGTCGCTCGATAATGGTTTTTAAAGTGTGACTTTATCTGAAGTACTTCAAAAGGCCCACTGTGCTTCATTACCAAGCCCTTCACAGTGTCTGCACAGCACAGATTCAAACTGGTGACTCTGCCCAAAACTTCTAGAAGGCTCTTCTCCCACACTCCCCTCTCCTTCCTTCCCCTCTCTATCTCCATCCAGACTTTTCTTTCAAATTTCCCCCCAATTCCTTGTAAATGGACTATAACCTTTTTAGGTTTGTTCTTTTCCAGTCTACATAGTTGCCTCTCAAAAAAAACAAAACAAAACAAAACCTAAATAATAGCAACCATGAGAATGTCAGACAGAATTCTCCTTAAAAAGATGATGGTTCTGAAAATCATACACTGTTTATCTTGTTATAAAGGCACCTAAAGTACACAAACACACACACACAATCTAGATTTTACAGTAATTTCAGAACCTTCACAGGCCCCTGCCCAAGAATCATAAACACCCGCAGAAGCTCTGACCAGACTCAGACACCTTCCCTAAACAACTATTCCTCAGCACCCACAAGGATTAGAAGAAAAATGCAGCTTGAACATGGATCAGAGCATGCATGAGAAGACAGAGAATCAAGAGGAAACAGGAAACAAAAACTAGATCCAAAATAGGACTGGGATTTGGGATCCAGAAGGATCCATAACCCCGGACCCCGTAGCAAGACCTGGCTCCGAAGCAGGAAGTAGGATATCTGGAATTTTCGAGACATCAGCAAATCTTGAACCACTTGTCCCTGCTGCAGCCTCTCTTCACACTGACCCCCCACTGACCTCACCCACAGGAAGGACCAGGTGACAAGGGGTCAGAGGGTGACCTGCAGTTCTCAGATGGAGGCTCAAGAGTGAAGGAAGACTAGGGACCCAGATCATTCCTGGTTGGGGTCCCTGATAGAGAAGGGGCAGAGGGGAGGTTGGGAGGGGTCCCAGGACCCTCAGGGCCACTCACCTGCGTACAGCTGGGCCTTCCTCCAGGCTGAAAGGGAACACACAAGTGAGACCTCAGCACAACCACCTGTTCTTGTGATCCAAGGGCCCTAGGCTCCCCCATTCTGCAGGTGAGACTCTCTAGGGGGTGGAGGGGAGAGGCTGAGAGGTCATGACCTCCTGCCCTGTGCAGACAGCAGGGGGTGGTGGGGAATCCCCTGGCTCAGGTCAGGAGTCTACAGGACAGACTGACCCAGCCCTGCCTGCCGCTGCTATGGGGCTTTGGGCAAGTCACTGAGTGGCTCCGGGCCCCACAGCCTTCAAAGCTCCTGCTTCACCTTCTAGTCACTGTTGCTACACAGGATCAAAAATGATATATGGGAAGATATTTTTTAATATACATATTATTCCATAATTACTACATTCAGTATTTCCTTGGAAATTAATGGGAAGATGAAATCAAAACACAACATGGACATCACACCAGCTCCAAATGCAGTATTTCTAGTGATAAAAACTCTCTGGGAGAGGAAAAGTCCCCACTCCCTCCCATGCAAGGTCACCCTGTCCTCTCCAGCAGTACAGATCAGCATCTTCAGGGGTGGAGAGAACAGACTTTTCTGGGGTTATGTAGGAGAAAGGGTATGTGGGAGAAAGGGCAGCAGGAGTTCACACTCCTAAACTTCAAGAGTCCATTTAGTTATAAAATCCCAGAGCAGCTGCTTTACTTCCAGGTGCTGACCAAGAACGAAATGCATTGAGGACTAGAAAGGCAGCACCATGGTGGGAAAGTCAAGGCTGAAATGAGACCCGGATGCAGGAGACTCCAAGGGCCACCATCCCACCAGGATCCCAGGAATGGGGGAAAAGCAGCACCCAAATCAGATCTGGAGAGCCCATGGAGCAGGGTCCTGCCTCCTACCAGCTCCCACTTCCACCCCAGGGAAGGGTCCACATGTCTGTGCTTAGACAGCCAAGAGGAGGGACCCCTGAGCACAGGGGACAGGGACCCAGGACCCCTGGAGCATCACTCACCAGCCAGGTAAGCTGCCTTCCTCTGGTCTGAAAGACAACACAGGACACAGGTGAGCTAAGAACCAGAATGTCTCCTACGAAGGGGACACGGAGAGTTCAGGAGGGAGAGCAGAGCTTACCTAGAATTGCCTGGAGTTCACCTGAAAGATAATTAAAAATATAAGCATAAACTGTCCCTAAGAACAAAGTTTGTGCCCAGAGAAGACACAAAAATGAATCTCTCTGGGTCTTAGAAGTTCCTGCTTCAGACCAACATGAGCCTCCAAGCTCCACTGTCCCCTCTGGGGCCAGCACCTGCTCTGATCTTGCTGCAGAGGGACCCTGGGCTCTGACTCTGGTGTCAGCTTGTCCCTCTCATCACCCACTGCTTTGCTCAACAACCTGGCCCCTGTCCTGCCTTACCTGTGCCCTTCAGGGCCTCCTCCTTGGTCTGTCTGTCCTCCTCCTTAGCCTGGCCCAGATCCCCCTGTTCCTGCAGCTCCCGCATCTGTGTGGAATGTTCTCTCTGGGTGTAGCAGGCAGCCCCCAGGAGCAGGAGCAGCAGCAAGGGCAGGCTCACCAGGAAAGCCGGCTTCCAGGGAGAGGTCCGGGGGAAGAAGGGCTCTGCAGACAGAGACCCCACAGAGACCCCATTAGGACACAGTCCAGCCCAGCACACTTCGGGGTGCCGGCCCCCCATCTGATATTGCAGGCGGCATGGAGTGGGGAACAGTGCTGACCTGGGATGATAATGGCCATAGCCTTCTCCTGGTGCAGGATGGGGTTGAGGATGGAGCAGGTCACGCTCCCCACAGAACTGTCTCTCACCACCAGAGCAGCCTCCACGCGGAAAAGCCCCTCATTGTCCTGGGCCTGGACCTTGGAGAACTCCAGGAACTGCTCCCCACGGGGGTGTCTCCACTTCACCTGGGGCTCTGGGAACCAGCCTGAGGCCTCGCACACCACACGCACACCATCCCCTTCTGGCCCCGTGATGTGCACTTGAGGGGCAGAGCCCACACCTGCGGAGGGAAGATGAGAGCCAGGTGGGGCAAGGCCCTCCTGTGTACACCTCCAGGGAAGGCTGTCAAGGTGCACTCTGAGGGGATCTGGGGGAGACCTGGGGCAAGATGATGACCTGACATGTTCATCTCTACCTTTCTACCTACTTTTTTATAATTATATAAACATGTTCAAATCTTTGTAGAATTCTTTTCTTGTTAGAAGAGTACACCTCATAATCCATAAACACTGTATTTTCTCATTTCTCACCAACATCTTAGCCTCCATCCGGCAGCTTCTCCTTCTAGTCCATTCTGTTCTGGGTGATTTGACAAAAGTCTCCCATTTGCCAAACTCAACCTCAGTCTCCAAGGTCCTCTCACCCAGTCTCCATTCATCCAGGACACTCCTGAACTCATCTTGAAACCACCTCCATTTTGGATTGGTCACTTCCCTCTGAGGGTGGCTTGTTGCAACTTGGCCCCCTTCTGAGCCCCATTCCTGACTTTTCTCCCTGCACCTGCTCCTTGAAGTCAGCGCAGTCCCAGGGCCCAGTCCTTAAGCACCCTCACCCAAGGCTTCTTCTTCCTCAGCTTCTATGTCTCCTCATACATCACTTCCAGATGTCACCTCACCAGCCTCCCTTTCTCCCTCCCTCTCCCTCCCTCTCCATCCCAATTACATCTGCCATTGTTCCTCACATGCTCTTCATACCCAAAATTCTACATCTGAACTCATGCTGTTTTCTCATCTGAGGTAAATTAGTAATAATAATGTTCCTAATTCTTCGTCCTTCTTCATATCTATCTCATGCTCTGCCATATACATTTTACTCACACTCTGACTTTTGGTTCAGTCATGTGACCTCGTGTGTCTAATGAGAGATCAGCTCATGTGACTCAGCAGAGGTTTAAAGTGCTGGCCCCCACAGGCTCCTGAAGGAGCTAGTGGCCAGCTGGGGAGTTAGCCCACACCCGGCCCCTTCCGAACAAGTAGTCTGAGCCCACAGGGAGAGCGAGCACCCACAGCCAGGGCAGACCAGGCACGCAGAAGAGTGTGCCTGACACCGGACGCGCAGGGAGTGTGTCCCACATCACCATTTTAGAACAGGGACATTTCTTCAGTAAAGACTACCTGCAGAAGGCTTCCTCAGGAGCCAGAGGTGAGCAGGGGGAGTTCGCCCACGCCAGACCCCCTCTGGCCTGCAGTCCAAGCCCAGAGGGGGAGCAGGAACCCACCGCCGGGGCAAACCAGGCGCACAGGGGAGTGTGTCCCCACATCGACATTTTAGGACAGGGACCTTTCTCCAATAAAGACTGCTTGAAACTGACAGATGACTCCAGGAGGAACCAGAGGGGAGAAGAGAAGCCCACCCAAGATGCCGGCCAGTCCCAACAACACAGTGTCCCAACGCATACGGCAAATTAGAAAACAGACAGTAGGGAGGAGAAGAACCACACGCAACCTAGCAACTCTCCAGAGAAAAAGCACACCACAAAAAGAAAACCAGCCCCCAGATGGCAACGACAGTAACTTGGAAGAACTTCTGAGCCTTCCAGAAAGAGAATTTAAAATTGCCGTGATTAAAAAACTGACAGAAGTCATAAAGGAAAACAATGATAAGGGAAAAATAATCAACGATCAGAAGAATGAAATTGAGTCCCTAAAGAGGGAAGTAAAAGAAATGCAGGAGATCAAAGAATTAGTGGAAGAACTAAAGAATTCTGGGAAAAGCAATGAAAGCAGAATTGATGAAATGGAAGAACGAATAAGTGCTCTTGAAGACACAGAAATAAAAAGAACCAAAACAGAAAAGGAAAGAGAAGTACGAAGGAAAAAGAATGAAGAAAGACTTCGGGAACTATCTGACTCCATGAGGAAAGGAAATATAAGAGTTATAGGAATACCAGAAGGAGAGGAGAGAGAAGTAGGAACAGAGAAAATATTCAAAGAGATAATTGAAGAGAACTTCCCAAATGTGAAGAAGGAGCTGAAAATTGATATACAAGAAGCAAGAAGAACACCAAACTTCCACGACGAAAGAAAAAATACAGCAAGACACATAATAGTAAAGCTCCCAAGAATCCAGGACAAGGAAAAAATAATGAAGCTGGCAAGAGGGAAGAAACAGATAACATTCAAAGGAAAGCCAATCAGGCTGACATCAGACTTCTCCGAAGAAACACTACGGGCAAGGAGAGAGTGGAGGGACATAGTCAACAGACTCCAAGAAAACAGATGCCAACCAAGAATACTCTATCCCGCAAAGCTCTCCTTCCTCTTTGAAGAAAGAATATGGACCTTCCCAGACAAACAGAAACTCCGGAATTTCATTGCAACTAAACCCCCACTCCAAAAAATACTACAAGGAGTCCTAAAGCCAGAACCTCAGAGGGACGAATAACAATGAAAGAAGGCCAAAAAAAAAAAAGTTATTAAAAGAATAAATAAATAAAATCAAAGGAAAGACAAACACAATGGCAAATACAGATGTTAACATATCAATATTAACTCTAAATGTAAATGGACTAAACTCTTCAATAAAAAGACACAGAGTTGCAGCCTGGATTAAGAAACAAAACCCAACCTTTTGCTGTCTCCAGGAAACACATTTAGCTACAAAAGATAAAAATAGGCTCAAAGTCAAAGGATGGAAAACAATCCTACAAGCAAATGGGCCAAAAAAGAAAGCAGGAACAGCTATACTTATATCAGATAAAACAGATTTCAAACTCAAAAAGATAAAAAGAGACCCCAATGGTCACTACATTATGATCAAGGGGACAATACTTCAAGAAGAAATAACACTCATTAACATATACTCACCAAACGAAGGAGCACCAAAATATATCAGACAACTGTTGTCTTCTCTGAAAACAGACATCAGAGAAAACACATACATAGTGGGAGACTTCAACACACCACTATCAACAATGGATAGATCAACAAGACAAAAAATAAGTAAAGAAACCAAAGCTCTAAATAAGGACCTAGAGCAATTGGGCTTAACAGACATCTATAGAACACTAAACCCCAAAAAAACGGAGTACACATTTTTCTCAAGCGCACACGGATCATTCTCCAGGATCGATCACATACTGGGGCACAAGACAAACATCAACAGATACACCAAGATTGAAATCATACCAACCATCTTTTCTGACCATGAAGGCATCAAACTAGAACTAAACCATAAAAAGAAGGCAAGGAACTTTCCTACCTCATGGAGATTAAAAACCACACTACTGGAAGACCACTGGACTAATGAGGAGATCAAAGAAGAAATTAAAAAATTTTTTGAATTGAACGACAAGGAGGACACCAATATCCTAAATGTATGGGATGCAGCAAAAGCAGTAATAAGAGGAAAATATATAGCAATAGAAGCTCACATCAAGAAACAAGAAAGAACTCAAAGAAACAACCTAATCTCAAAGCTCAAAGATCTAGAAAAAGAACAACAAAAAAACCCCGAAACCAGTAGAAGAAAAGAAATAATAAAAACCAAAGCAGAAATAAATGAAATTGAAACTAAAAAAACAATCCAAAAGATCAATGAAACCAAGAGCTGGTTCTTTGAAAAAAATCAATAAAATAGACAAACCCGTAGCCAGGCTCACAAAGGAAAAAAGGGAGAAAGCACAAATAAACAGGATCATCAATGAAAGAGGAGAAATCACAACGGACACAGCAGAAATCAAAAGAATAATCAGTAACTACTATGAACAGTTATATGGAAATAAGTTTAATAATCTAGAGGAGATGGACAAATTCCTACAACTCTACAATCACCCAAAGCTAGATAAAGAAGAAATAGAACACCTAAACAGACCAATTACAATTAGCGAAATTGAAATGGTAATCAAAAACCTCCCCAAAAACAAAAGCCCAGGACCAGATGGATTTACAAATGAATTCTACCAAACATTCAGAGACGAATTAGTGCCTATCCTTCACAAACTCTTCCAAAAAATTGAGAAGGAAGGGACAATACCAAACACGTTCTATGAAGCCAACATTACACTAATACCAAAACCGAACAAGGACAACACTAAAAAGGAAAACTACAGGCCAATCTCCCTAATGAACACTGATGCAAAAATCCTCAATAAAATTTTAGCCATCAGAATCCAACAATGTATCCATAAGATAATTCACCACGACCAAGTAGGATTCATTCCAGGGGCACAAGGATGGTTTAACATCCGAAAATCAATCAATGTTATCCAACACATCAACAAAAAGAAATATAAAAACCATATGATAATATCAATAGATGCTGAGAAAGCTTTCGACACAGTGCAACACCCATTCATGATAAAATCCCTTGAAATTCTTGGGATACAAGGAACATACCTCAACATCATAAAGGCCATCTATGACAAGCCAACAGCCAGCATCATTCTCAATGGTGAAAAGCTGAAAGCAATTCCATTAAGATCTGGAACAAGACAAGGATGTCCACTCTCACCACTGCTTTTCAATATAATACTGGAAGTCCTAGCCAGGGCAATAAGACAAGAGAAAGACATCCAAGGAATCCAAATAGGAAAAGAAGAAGTCAAACTATCACTATTTGCAGACGATATGATATTATACATAGAGAACCCCAAAAACTCCACAGAAAAGCTAATTCAACTCATCAATCAGTTCAGTAAAGTGGCAGGATACAAAATCAACATGCAAAAGTCAGTAGCCTTCCTATACACAAACAATAAATCTGAAGAAGAAGAAATCAAAAAACCATCCCTTTTGTTATTGAAACAAAAAAAATCAAATATTTGGGAATAAATCTAACAAAAGAGATAAAGGACCTATACAAAGAAAACTATAAAACACTGTTAAAAGAAATAGAAGAAGACACAAAGAAATGGAGAGACATCCCCTGCTCGTGGATTGGAAGAATAATCATTATTAAAATGGCCATCCTTCCAAAAGCAATATACAGATTCAATGCTATTCCAATCAAAATTTCAATGTCATTCTTCAAAGAAATAGAACAATTATTGATGAAATTCATATGGAATCACAAAAAACCCCGAATAGCCAAAGCTCTCCTGAAAAAAAAAGAAGGGAATGGAGGCATTACACTCCCAGACTTCAAACTATACTACAAAGCCATAATCATCAAAACTGCATGGTATTGGAACAAGAACAGACATACAGACCAATGGAATCGAATAGAAAATCCAGAAATAAATCCACAGATTTATGGTCAACTAATCTTTGACAAAGGAGCAAAGACTATGCATTGGAGCAAAGAAAGTTTGTTCAATAAATGGTGCTGGGAAAACTGGGTCGCTACATGCAAAAGAATGAAGCTTGACCACTACCTCACACCATACACAAAAATCAACTCAAAATGGATTAAAGAACTAGACATAAGACCTGAAACCATAAAATATATAGAAGGAAATATAGGCGAAACACTACGTGATCTGCACATCAAAGACATCTTTACAGACACATCACCCAAAGCAGTGATAGTGAAGGCAAAGATAAACAGCTGGGACTACATCAAATTAAAGAGCTTCTGCACAGCAAAAGAGACAATAACAAAAACAAAGAGAAACCCCACCAACTGGGAGAACATTTTTGCACCCAACACTAATGATAAAGGACTGATCACAAAAATCTGCAAAGAGCTGATGAGACTCAGCAACAACAAAGAAAATAATCCAGTCAAAAAAATGGGCAGAAGAGCTAAAAAGAAACTTCTCTGAAGAGGAAATGCAAATGGCCAACAGGCATATGAAAAAATGTTCAACATCACTTGCCATCAGGGAAATGCAAATCAAAACTACCATGAGATACCATCTTACACCAGTGAGAATGGCACATATTAAAAAAACTAGCAACAACAAATGCTGGCGAGGGTGTGGAGAAAAAGGAACTCTTCTGCACTGTTGGTGGGAGTGCAAACTGGTCCAACCACTGTGGAGAGCTGTGTGGAGATTTCTGGACCTACTAAACATAGAGCTTCCATATGATCCAGCCATTCCACTCCTAGGTATTTACCCAAAGGACACAGAAACAGTAATTCCAAAGAGCACCTGCGCCCCTATGTTTATAGCAGCACTGTTTACAATAGCTAAGCTTTGGAAACAACCCAAATGCCCAAAAATAGATGACTGGATCAAGAAGATGTGGTACATATATACCATGGAATATTACTCAGCATTCAAAAAAGATAAACACATGCAATTTGCAGCAACATGGATGGCGCTGGAAGGGATCATGCTCAGCGAAATAAGCCAAAAAGAAAAAGAAAAATACCGGATGGTCTCACTCATAGCAGGAATCTAGAAAACTTAAATAAGGGACCAGGAAAATGAATAACTATAAGAAAGTGAAAATCAAAATCAACAAAAAACTATGAACCAGAGACACTTTTAGGGGGGTGGGGGCGGGAGGGGAGGGATTGTGGTCAGAATGGGGGGGAAAAAGAAAAAAAAAAGATGACATCACATGGGGGTGGGGGGATTGATTAATTATGTAAACTCTGGGGCACAATGACTCATAAGCTTCTTCCACTCTTAGCTGTAAATCCATTTTCAAGAGACCTAACCTCCCCAAACTTCCTTTTCTGGTCTGTGAAATGGAAATGAAATCTGCTTCATTGTGGTGGAAAAGACTAATAATGGACAGTGTAAAATACAGTGTTGGCACATGTGGATTCATGCACATGTTAAACTGTCATATATATGTATATATATATGTATGCATACATACGTATATATACTTAAGAAAGAGAACAAAATAAAGACATTTCTAGACAAAAAAAAAATGAATAAGGATGTAAAAGATAAAAATAAATAAATACATAAATAAGATTAAAAAAAATAAATAAATAAAGTGCTGGCCCCATGGGTCTTCCCTCTGCCAGCTCCATGGAAGGATGGAGCAGGGCCTGTCACCAGCCTTTCCCCTGAAACTGTCCTCCCTCAGCCAGAAGCCAGTGACCATTCATGCAACAAGCCCAGCCAAGGTCCACTTGGTGACATTTTCATCTGACAAAAAAAAATGTCACCAAGGTCCACTTGGTGACATTTTCATCTGACAAAAAAAAATGTAGGCGTAAGTTCAGTGGAGAATAGTCAAGTCCATGTGAGGTGAGCTGAAGTCCCCACCAGCCCATGTGAATACAAGTCCATTACTACAGGCCACTGAGAGATTTTTTTTCTGTGGTTCTTTGTTACACAGCAGCTGTCCACAGTCACCAGGCTCCGCGGACTCCATCGTCTTTTCTTCATCTGGTATGAGGCATTTTATAGAACCCTGTTAGATCAAATGACGTCCCAGCTCAAGTATCTACATCATATGGAAGTTTTTCTGATTACCTTTAGTGGCATTCATCAGCCACCCTTGACCTCTCCACCATGTACTCACCCCATTTTTTTATGAGAGTATTGTCCCCTCACAACACCCTGCTCCTCACTCTCTCCCACCAGCCATGAGGACTCCACTTTGTTGTGTGAGCACGCTCCCCCCAGGTCATCCACACGGGCTGTGCCTCCACATAGAAATTCCCTTCCCTGTAATGTACAACATGCCTGTAGCCAACATTGCTTTGTGATGTGTAGGGAAGTTGTTAAAGGATAAACTCCAAAGAATTTTTTTCACAATGAGGTAACTTTCCCCTTTTTGCTTCTTTTTCTTTCTTTTTGCTAAACCTATAATAGCAGACAGATGGATTTAACCTATGGTGGCCATCACTTCACTATATATATAAATCAGTCATTATTGGTATGCCTCACATTACATATGACACATATTAATTATCTGTCTATAAACTGAGGAGAAAGGAACACCCATACTTCAGATATCTATTCAGCTGTATTTCCACTTCCCTGGAGTCTTTGCTCCCATGGCACCAGCCTGAGCTGCTACTTATTACTGCAAGCTGCCCTTAGCCCCAGCCCCACCTTCCTGAGCCATCTCCCTGCTCCATTTAGCTTCCTGTCCTCACCAGTTTTCACTTCCAAATGTCATTTATGCCTTGGTTATTGATTACAGTTGCTCTCTCTCTCACTACAAATATAAACTCACAGAGTGAAAACTTTGCTTTTGTATCTAAGACTTTAGAACAGGGCCAGACATGTAGCAGGTACCCTATATGTTTACATTTCATAAAACATGAATTAATAAGCCTTTTCTTACTCATAAATGATATGATAAACTAAAGTGCATTCCCCTTATTTTCTCCCCAATTCCAAAACTCCAGGACTGTGAGATATTTAACATGTCACCAACCTGCCACCTGCAGCTCCAAGTTGGCTTGGTCACTGAAGACTCCGTTGATGAAGCTGCAGGTGTACAGCCCATTGTCAGACACCTGGACCTTGCGGATATGCACAGCAGCCTCCCCCTTGCTGAGGAATTTCCCTACTAGTGAGGTCCGCCCTGCATACTGGGGCATCAGCTCTTCATGTCGTTCCTGTCCGTCTTGATAGGTGAAGACTAACTCCCAGTCATTGGACCGGAACCACCTCAACTCCATGTTCTCTGCACTCATGGCTGGATCCAGGGAGCAGGGCAGTGTGGCGTCCTTGCCCAGCTCTGCCACAATAGGGTCTGGGGGGCCAAATACATGGAACCTCTCTGTGAACGCAGACATGAGAGTTAGAAAGGGTGAGAGACACAGTTATCTCAGGGAACACACACCATCACTGGGGGAGGCCCTGCCAGGCTGAGGAAGGTGTCTATGAGCAGACAGCTGACATGAAGGATTAACAGTGACAATTCTGAATCTGGGAAGATCTCCGAACCACACTTGTGTCCAACTACACTTGTGGTCCACAAATAATGTCAAAGATGCTCCCTCATTCACTAGTGTACCTGATAGCAGGACCTTCCATCACAAACTCTAGCTCCATGGTTATCATTTCCAGGATCACAATCTCTAGGAGGGCTTGTAATTGTAAAATGTGGGGACCCTACCCCAGGTCTGATGCAGCCGATTGGGATTACACAAGAACATACATTTCCAAAGAGTTCTTGCGGGGACTAAGAAGGTGTCTGAGGAAATCAGTTTCATTACACAGAGGATCATCAATGTGAATGAGTGGACAGGGCAGCCAGAGAACACCAGGCTTACGACAGAACTGGACACTCTCATACAGCAGTCACCAGGCAGATAGTACTGAAAGGGACACAGAGGAGAGTCATGCTTCACTGACCAAGAGTTAGGCAGAGAAGACACCTGGAGGCTGTGGTCAGGGTGGGGGAGGCTGCAGCACATGCTGTGGTGGTCACTCAACTAGGCACGTGACCCTGGGCAGGGAGAGCTGACAGTGAGGGTCCTCCCAGCTAACAAGATCCCCAGTGAAGCAACAGAAAACAGTGCTGGATGCACCCCCGCTCCCCCCTCAGGACTGGCCCTGCCCTCCTGAAGCTCAGGGACGGTGTGCACAGGGAGAGTCTCAGGGCTGAACTAAGAGAGGCGAGTGTCAGGGGTGCCATAAACATGGGTTCACACGCCCCAGCCAGAGCACCTGCACCAGAGGCTGGATGACGTCAGGCCCCACATTCTCTGACTCAGCATCTCAAGGATCAGGTCTCTACTCCTACATAAGTTACAAATCTAAACACACAACAGGGTCACCCAATGGAAAGTTAGAAATAGTTCAACTATCTAAGTTACCACTACAGATGCTGTTTTTCAAAAATAGGAAGTTTAAAGCAGCAAAATAAGTGTCAGAAACTTGAGATCTCAAGGGAATAGGAATTCACAAGACTAGACCAACTCTGCCGTATGCAACTACTAAGATATGGAAGATAGTATCCTACTATCAAGTAGAGTTCAAATTGCCGTAATACAGAAAGTCAAAGAAATGGAGAAATCACAGAAAAGTGGATCAAAGAGAAAAACAAAATTTAGAACAATAAATGACCTGGAAAATAAAATGAGTGAAAAGAAACAGAAATTGAAGTCTTAAATTAAAATCACAGAGATGGGGCTGTAAAAAGATTAGAGGAGAAGCTACTCACTCCTGGAGAAGGTATTGGAGCAGAATAGACCAAATGAAAGGTCAAATAAGTGACCTGACAGCAATAATGAACAATGGACTGAATAGGAGCAAAATGAAGAAAAACTGGAAGAACTAACCAAATCTATGAGGAAAGGCAACACAAGCATAATGGATATTCCACAATTTGAAGAGAGAGACAGGAACAGAGATACATTCAAAGAAATATACTAACGTTACATATATACATACACATAATAAAATAGTACTCACATTTTTTTAAAGATTTATTTTTATTTAAGTATGCACACAAGAGCTGGAGTGTAAGCCAGAGGTGCAGGGAATGAGGGGATTCACCAGAGACAGGGTGCGGAGAACAGGCAGACGGCAGAAATAGCCTGCTGAGGGGAGCAACTAGCAAGACAGGAGAGGTCTGCTACAAGATGTGGATCAGCTCCCTGCCAGGGATGAAACTCCTGCTGCAGTGGCGATGATAGCTTGATAATGGTGAGACTTAACCTCTTGTACCACCAGGGAGGCCCACCGAATTTTTTTTTAAATAAGTAAAATCATGCCATTTAAACAACAAGGATGGAACTTGAAGACATTATGTTAAGATAGATGAACAAAGGCAATTCCTGAAGGAGGAGCTCCCAGAGCCCCTGGGCCCCACCCACCGGAGGGAGACACAGGACAGGGAGGGACACACTCACCTGGGGACCCCCCTGGGGGCAGCTGGAGGAAGAGCAGCAGGGAGGGGAGGAGGCAGAGCACAGAGCTGGGGCAGGAGCAGGGCGCCATCTCCTCAGGGCTGGGGAGAGACAGGGCAGGAGGCAGCCAGGTCACACAGAGGAGCAGGGTGCCAAGAGGTCTGGACTCAGCGGGGAGCAGGGCCCAGCTACCCCACCAGCAGGAGCAGGGCCCTTCCTGGTGACCCCTTAGGCCCTGTGACCAGGGAGGACAGACCTGGCTCCTCTTAGGGCTTCTGAGCCTCTGTGCTGCTAGACCATGAGGTTTATTGGAGAAAAGCATCTCTCCTTCCCTCCCACCCCATGGAACCCACACACCAGACCCACTTGCTCAGAACACCAGGCCCCTCCATTCCCAGCACCTGGGTCTAGGGTGCAAACTGCCCTCCCCTCCCCATCATCACACCCAGTGACTCCCCAGGACAGAGGCCCAGACCGAGGCCCCCCATGAAGAAGAAGCCCCCAGGAGAAGCCTCAGGACACATGACCCTGTCCCCAAGGGGTCAGGGTCCCCCCTTAAGGCTCTGTCCTGCTCTGTCTGCTTTTTCAGCTGGCCTGAAGTCCCTCCCCAGCTCTCCTGCCAAGTTCCTGCCCCAAACACAGCAGGAGCCAGGTCAGATCCCCACTGAGGGTTTCTTCCTCTTCCTCTCAAACTGTGGGGATTTCTGCGTCAGGGTGAGGAACCCAGTGAGAAAGAGCAGCAGAGAAAGGAAATGAGTTCTGCTCAGAGAACAAACCCTCAAACCATGTACTGTGGGGGTTCGGGGAGAGGCAGACAACGGTCCTGGGAGGGCAGATTCTGGGGCTGACTCTGAGGTCATCTCTAGACTCAGCCACTCTCTGTGTGACCATCTCCATCAAGTCTCTTAACCTTCCTGCCTCACTTTCCCCAAAGAAAAATGGAAATAGTATCAGCATTGAAAGGTTGGGCGTGGTAAAGAAAAGGAGAGCCAGGCTACATTTCTCAAAGGGAGGGAAAGTTTATTGCGCCCCGGGCGGACCTCACAGACCCAAGGCGGGGGTCAGTGGAGTCACGCACGTTGTTAGGGGGAAGGTGGGTAGTTGGGCTCCTATGGCGGGAAAAGTTTGTAGGGCAGGTAGAGGTTCTTTGTCTGAGAAGAGACTCCTAGGGGGAGGGGGAAGGCTCACTGCCTGAATCCTCCAGGCAGGTATCCGCATTCCTGCCCCCCAGGTGGGCTTCCTGGTTGGCTCCTGCATTCCGGCCTGCTGCATGCACCTTTCAAGCATCTCCCAAGTAAGTTTGGAATGAGAATTACATGAATTATATTGGAAGAGTCACTACCTAAAATTCTAGAACAGGGTCCTGCCCCAGGATGTTACAGACACATTATTAAAATAAGTGAAGTACAATTTTCAGTGAGGTTGTGCTGGGTCCTCTTAGAGCTGGGCCATATCCTGTGCCACCTCCCATCCCCACCCAAGCCCCACCACCTTCTCAGCCCCTCCTTACAGTCAGCTGCTCCCCACTTTCTTTTCTTAAAAGAAACATGTCTTCAAAACTGACATACCTGCTTTGAAATGCTGGGGCTTCTAGGGGGTCCCATGGAACTTGAGAAGTTTCAGTGTTACCCCAAATCTTCTTACAGAGTTACCACCTGCTGTTAGCTGCTCAGGAGTCCTGCTGGGTGCCAAGGGGGCCTCATGGCTCAGAGAAGATGGTTCTCAGGAGAGGAGACAGGCAGACTTAGGCATTCATTGAGGGGTGTCTCACCAGGGGTGGGATCCTGGGGATCCTCCAAATTTTCTCTTAAAAACGCATTCACCCTTCTCTGGCTCCTACACGATCTGAAAGTGAAAGCTTGAAATACAATCCCAGCAGACTCCACCCTGCCCTCATGACAGTGCACCCGAGGGAGAACTTCCTTCCTGTTTCAGGAAGGAAAGAGCATATCAGATGGGTCAGCAGAGGAGAAGGGCAGGCACCCTGACAGCCCTGCAGGCACAGGGATATGCCCACCCAGCACCCACTATTGAGCACCCACTGTGCTCCAGGCCGCTTGGCTTCCAGACCCAGAACTAGGAGTGAGTGTGGGGCCCAGTCAGGACTGCCACTGAGCCCCATGAAGGGCTCAGCCTTTGCCAGAGGGTGACCACCCCAGTGACCCCAGGTCAGCTGTCACCGCACTTGGCAGAGCCTGTGAGGAGCCCCCAGGGGCCCTGTTTTCCTTCCAAGTTCATGATCCTCTCCAGTCAGCTCATGTCATCTCCCTGTCTCATCCCTTTTGTTTAAAGGAGGGTCTCCCTGGCCTCCCCCTCCTTCTCTGAGCCCCTCCCATTGCTCTGCCAGGGGCCCCCCCTCTGGCTCAGGTGACTCCTCCAATTAAGGGAGCTATCCCAGCCTCAGGCCTCCTCACAGTCCCTGATGTTCCTGCTGCTTCTGCTCCCCAACCCCTCACCTTTCAGGCCACATCTGAAGTCACCTGCTCAGAGGGGCCTCTGCCAGCCTCCTGATCCCACTTGTGCACCCCACACCTGCTTATTGGGCTTGGGGGACCTGTCTTCCACCCCAGCCCTGACATGTGTCATTGGGAACCATGTGGGATCCCGGGGCGAGGCCCTGTGAGTTCTGCTCTGGGTCTAGCAGGGAGTGACTTTGCCAGCCTCAGTTGAGCTCATCTATAGAGGAGACACTTCTATTGCCCATGGGCTTCTCAGCTTCGTCCACTCTGACAACTCCTTAGTCCACTGAGAACACGAGACATCACCTCTGACCTGAGCACCAGCCTCTGATAAACACAGTGTCCACCATGCTAACCTGTCTGCTATTCTATCCCCCCAAATATAAATGGGTCACTAATCACATCTCACTGAGCTGGAATCATTCAGGGAAGCACCTGTTTCTGCCCACAGACAGCACCAAAAGGGGCACAGGAGAATCATGCTTCATTGAACAAGAGGTAGGTGGAGAGAGACACCTGGAAAATGTTGTCAGGGTGGGGGAGGCTGCAGCACACACTGTGGTGGTCACTCAACAAGGCACATGACCCTGGGCAGGGAGAAATAATAGTGAGGACTCACAGCTCTGACTGGGTGCGCCCAGCTCTCAATGTCCCCAGTGAAGCAACAAGGCACAAAGCTGGACGCACCCCTACATCCCCTCAGGACTGGCTCTGCCCTCCTGAAGCTCAGGGACGGTATGCACAGGGCTGAGTCTCAGGACTGAACTGAGAGAGGTGGCGTCAGGTGTGCCACAAACATGAACTCTCATGCCCCAGCCAGAGCACCTACCCCAGAGGCTGGATGACTGCAGGCCCCATGGTCTCTGACTCAGCATCTCAAGGATCAGGTCTCTAGTCCTACATAAGTTTCAAAAATTGGACATTTAAAGCAGCAAAATAAGCCTCAGAAACTTGAGGCCTCAAGGGAACATGAAATCACGAGAGAGAACAACTCTCCAATACACAACTAAAAAGCCATGGAGGATCATATCTATCAAGTGGAGTTCAGCATTGCCATCATAAAGAAAGCCAAAGAGATGGAGAAAACATAGAAAAGTGAATCAAAGAGATAAAACAAAATTGAGAATAATAAATGAATGTCTTGGAAAATAAAATCAGGGAACAGAAAGTAGAAATTGAAGCCTTAAATGAACATCAGAGACAGAACCTCTAAAAAGGTCAACAGAGAGCTACTTGCTCCTGTATAAGCTACTGGAGCAGAAAAGACCAAAGAGAAGATCAAATCAGTGACATCCAATAATAATGAACAATGGACCAAATTAGAGGAAAAAAGAGAAAAATGAAGAAAAACTGGAAGAACTAAATAATTGATAAGGAAAGGCAACATAAGAATAATGGATGCGCCACAATTTGAAGAGAGAGACAGGAACAGGGTATATTCAAATAAATAGTAAAATTACATATATACACACACATGATGAAATGCACTCAGATTTTTTTTTAAGCTTTATTTTTATTTATGCACATAAGAACTGTGGTGTAGGTCAGGGTGGGTGAAAAGATTCACCAGAGACAGAGTGAGGAGCAGGGCAGGCAGATCTACTGAAATACACTGCTAGGGGAGCAGCCGGTGAGACAGGAGAGGTCTGCTGCGCCATGAGGGTAGCTCCCTGGCCAGGGTCAAACTCATGTTGCAGTGGCTGGTGATAGCTTGATAATGCTGAAACTCAACTACTTGAGTCATCAGGGAGTCCCTCAGATATATTTTTTTTTTATTTAAGTAAGATCATGCCATTTAAAATAACACGTATGGAACTTGAGAACATTATGCTAACTCAAATGAGCAAAGACAATTCCTGAAGTAGAAGCTCCCAGAGCCCCTGGGCCCCACCCACCCCAGGGAGACACAGGACAGGGAGGGTCACAGTCACCTTAGGACCCCCCAGTGGGGGGCAGCTGGAGGAGTAGTAGCAGGGAGGGGAGGAGGCAGAGCACAGAGCTGGGGCAGGAGCAGGGCGCCATCTCCTCAGGGCTGGGGAGAGACAGGGCAGTAGGCAGCCAGGCCCATGCAGAGGAGCAGGGCAGCCAGGAGCCCTGGGTTAGGGGGGAACAGGGCCCAGGTACCCCCACCAGCAGGAGCAGGGCCCTTCCTGGTGACTCCACAGGCCCTAAGACCAAGAAGGACAGACCTGGTTCCTTTCAAGGCTAGGGGCTAAGAGCAGGTAGGCGATGTTTCAGGAAGGACAGACATTGCAGGCTGACTCTGAGCTCACTGCTGGAATTGGCCACTGTGTGTGACCATCTTCATCAAGTCTCTTAACCTCCCTGCCTCACTTTCCCCACCAGAAAAATGGGAATAGTATCAGTATCTCCCAAGCAAGGTTGGAAGGAGAATTACCTGAACTGTATTTGAAGAGTCATGACCTAAAATTCTAGAATAGCGTCCTGCCCCAAGAGTGTTACAGACACATTATTAAGTGAAGTACAGCCATCAATGAGGATGTACTGGGTCCTCTTAGAGCTGCACCATTTCCTGGGCCACCTCCCATCCCACCCAGCCTCACCACATTCTCATCCCCTCCTTACAGTCAGCTGCTCCCCACTTTCTTTTCTTAAAAGAAACATGTCTTCAAAACTGACATGCCTGCTTTGAAATGCTGGGGCTTCTAGGGCGTCCCTTCATACTTAAGAAGTTTCAGTGCTTCCCCAAATCTTCCTAGAGAGTTAGCACCTGCTGTTAGCTGCTCAGGAGTCCTGCTGGGTGCCAAGGGGGCCTCATGGCTCAGAGAAAATTGTTCCAAGGGGGTAGACAAGCAGAATCTAGCACAAGTTGAGGGATGTCTACAGAGGCCAGCCCACGGGTCCTCACAAATTTCTCCCAGAAAAACAAATCACCCATCTCAGGCTCCTTCCATCATCTGAAAGTGAAAGCTAAAGTGCAATTCCAGCAGGCGCCACCCTGCCCTCTGGACAGTACACCCCAGTTATCAGCAGGAAAAGAGCAGGATCAGAGGAGCCAGCAGAGGGGAGTAACAGGCACCCTGACAGGCCTGCAGGCACAGAGGAGGTGCCCACCCAGCACCCACTGTTGAACACCCACTGTGCTCCAGGCTGCTTGGCTCCCAGACCCAGAACTAGGGGTGAGTGTGGGGCCCAGTCAGGACTGACTCTGAGCCCCATGCAGGGCTCTGTGGGTGCCCGATGGTGACCACCCCAGTGATCACATGTCAGCTGTCACCCCACATGGCAGAGCCTGTGAGGAGCCCTCAGGGGGACTGTTTCTCTTCTCCTCACAGCAGCTGACCCATGAGCCCCACACCCTGGACACAGGAGTCAGCACTGGGCACCAGGAGCTGCCAGGACCTGTTCCTGCCCACACTGCGTGGATGGGGCCTGCAGCTTGTTCAGATGTTAATGTCACCTGAGACCTGGTCAAAGTGACCAGATCCTGTCCCTCCAGGACAGGGGGTCACCAGGAAGGCCCAATTCTGTGTCTCCAAGGAAACCAGGGAGCCTGGGCCTCCCCACCCTTCTCACTTCCCGTGGTTGCTCCTTCTCAGTGAAGGGCCCCTGTGTCCCCCCAGTTATCTCTGCCAGAGACTCCAGGGTCATCTTCATCTTCACAGTCCACTCCCCCACCCAGTCTACTTCCAATGCACCCAAATGTTCAATCTATGTCCATGACCAGCACCTATTCCACATCACCCTCACTTCTCACCTGGCCCAAAGGTCACCCAACCTCACCTCTAGCCTCACCTCCCCAAGTCCATTTCCTTCCAAGATCATGACTCTCTCCAGTCAGCTCATGTCATCTCCCTGTCTCATCCCTTCAGGGGATCATCCCTCTGCTTAAAGAAGGGTCTCCCAGGCCTTTCCTTCCCTCTCTGAGCCCCTCCCATTGCTCTGCCAGGGGCCCCCTCTGGCTCCAAGTCAGGGAGCTCTCCCAGCCTCAGGCCTCCTCACAGTCCCTGACACTCCTGCTGCCTCTGTTCCCCAAACCCTTCACCTTTCAGGCCACGTCTGAAGTCACCTGCTCAGAGGGGCCTCTGCCAGCCTCCTGATCCCACTTGTGCACCCCACACCTGCTTATTGGGCTTGGGGGGGCCTGTCCGCCAACCCAGCTCTGACGTGTGTCATCTGGCAAAGATGTGGGATCCCAGGGGTAGGTCCTGTGAGTTCTGCTCCATGTCCAGCAGAGAGGGGCCTCACCAACCTCAACTGAGCTCGTCTGCAGAGGAGACGCTGCTGCTGCTCCTGGGTCCCTCGGCCTTGCTCACTTAGAAAAGCCCTCGGTTCACTGAGAACACAAGTCATCACCTCTGACCTGGGCACCAGCCTCTGATAGACACAGTGTCCACCATGCTCCCCTGTCT